TTGGTAGATAATATTTATCAGATTAAGGTTATTTCTCTTTATTCCTTGTCTATTGAGTTTTTGTCTTAAATAGGTATTGAATTTTATAAAAGGTTTATCTGTATCTCCTGAGATGATCATATGATTTTGTTTTTCTTTTTAATATGGTGAATTTTATGGATTAATATCTTGAAAGTTAAACCATATTTGCGTTTCTGGGAGAAATTCAACTTGTTCATGATGCAGTACACTTTTTATGAATGGCTGGATTCAATTTGTTAATATTTCTTAGAATATATGCATTTATGTTCTTAACAGAGATTGACTTGTATTTCTTTTTGGGTCACATTTTGGGATAATATTATGTTGGCCTAATATACTGAGTTGCTATTTGTTTCACACTGTTTCTAATATCTTCAAGTTTGCTAAGATTGATGGGGTCCTTGAGTAAACAGCTAAGGAAGAATTCTTGAGACGTCTTTGGTGCAAAAAGGTGATTTTATTAAAGCATGGGGACAGGACCTGTGGGTAGAAAAAGCTGCACTGGGCTTGTGAGGAGTGACTGATTATATACTTTTAAGTTAGTGGGGGTTAGGGATAGCATAAGTCTCTAAAGAATTTGGAAGCAAGGCTTTCAGGACCTTGAGGGGCTAGCTGCTGTTAAGATAAGGTTACTTTTAGTCTTTAATAACACAAAAACATGAAGGAAGTAAGACAGCCATGAGTTCCTTGAACAAGGTCATGCTCTGCATGTTTCAGACATCTATCAGTGGGCTGCAAGCTATAATCAGATTTAATTTAAACTACATTCCTCCTGCCTTTGTTTCCCTCATCAAGATCAGTATTATTTCTTTATTAAATGGTTATAAAAATTCAACAGGGCCTGGAGATCTCCTTGTAGGAAGATTATAAACTATGGATTCAATTTTTGAAAATATAAAAAGGGAAACATTTACATTTTTCATTTCTTCTTGAGCAGGCTTTTTTCCAAGTTACTTTTGTTTTTTACTTTTTTCTTAATTTTTATTTATTTTTTTAGAGAGAAAGACAAAGTGTGAGAAGGGGAGGAGCAGAGAGAGAGGGTGAGACAGAATCTGAAGCAGGCTCCAGGCTTCCAGCTATCAGCACAGAGCCTGATGGGGGGGCTCGAACTCACAAACCGTGAGATCATGACCTAAGCTGAGGTGGACACTCAACCGACTGAGCCACCCAGGTGCCCCCGAGTTACTTTTTTTAAACATAAATATTATTGAAATATAGTAGCCTATTCATTTAATGTGTGTATCATAGTGATTCAATATTTTTTATCCACTACAAAATGATCCTTTTAGTGCATATACTAAGATCATGACCTAAGCTGAAATCAAGAGTCAGATGCTCAGTGAACTGAGCCACCCTGGTGCCCCTGAACCTTGGTTTTA